TTGATATTCCTGTTAAGGACGGACATCATTTACAGTAATTTGCTCTGTTATTTCATGTTACTTTGTGAAGAAGGAACTTGTATGAATATTTGATTTCATGGCTGATCAGGTCTAGTGACGTGATTGAAACAAGCGTACGTACAGAAAATAAGCATTCACCTAATAGACCCATATATATTGTTGGAGAATCTCTTGGAGCGTGCCTAGCACTAGCGTTGCAGCCCGAAATCCCGACATTGATCTTGTTCTAATTTTGGCCAACCCAGGTGTGAGAAACTTATCACTTTCCCTCATTAATTCACATTTACTTTTGTCAATCATTTGATGCAACAATTAATTTAAAAAAAAAAAAAAATTAATGTGATTTTGAGGTGATTTTGTTTTTTTTTTTTTAATGCGGGGTCAGGTGCCGACTCCATGTCCAGCCCAATGTTACTGTAACCATCCATTAATTCATGTTGCCTGTCAAGCCACACTTTACAGAATCTCAATGTGGTGTGGGATTCCTTTTAAAACCCAAATCTTTTGTGATCCTATTTTTTTTCTAAATTTTTAAAATTTAAAATGTCGTAATTACTCTTTAGCTAGTCTTATGCTTATTATTTCACTTAAAATTAAAGTTCAAACTTATATTTATGCATATGAGCTAGAATCATGGAGTTTTTATATAAAATGGTATTTTTTTTTTTTTTAAATAAAAAACTGTATTTCAAGTTGGAATTAACATCAATCTCCTGAAGTTTCAAGGTCCAAACGTTCTAGAACTATAAAAAACTCATCTTTATGGTTTCAAGAAATATTTCCAACTTCATTTGGAGCTGTAAATAACAAAGAAAAGTTTAAGTAACAGGGGTAGGCTTGTAATTCGGTTTGTCCTGATATTTTGAAAAAAGAAAAAACAACAATCAACCACCCTTCATAAGAAATTACCAGCTGCCTAATGCCTTTGAGATTCGGAGAAAATGTTGAAGTCATAGTATTTGTTCTTTAACTTTATCTACTCGATAAAAATACCAACCATTCTATATAATCTAGAATAACTATATAATGTTAATTAGAATATTGAAAAATAAAATTAGATTAACATAAATAACTTGAAGATAATCATATAGTTTTGATGAGTTTATAATATATTTGCACAAAAAGTTATAACATCTCTTGTTCCATAATGTTTCAATTAACCTTGCTTATGCATGGCAGCTACATCTTTTAGCAAGTCTTGCTGCAAACACAATACCTTACTGGAACGCATGCCTGGTGAAATAACTCTTAGCCTTTCTTCTATGCTGAGCTTAATGACAGGTTTGTTTTTCTATTATCCTTGCAAGCCTCCGTTATAGTTGACATTTATACTTGTTTTACTCAAAGCTAAATGATATATATTAACATGTACTTCAACATATGTAAATTATTATGTTAGAAAAAAAAAAAAAATAAGATTTGGGTACAGTGCTTATAGTTTAGATAAAGTATATATACTACATACAATATTTTATAACTATTTTTATACAACATGATTTGGTAAAAGATGATTGATTGATTTTAAATTAAAAATAAACTTTCACCACACCATGTTTATAACATCATGTATGAGAAATATTTTATGAAATGTTGTATGTGGAGTATTATTCTTAGATAAAAGCCTTTAAAAATTTCTAATAGTTAATACTGTTGTAAATCTGCTGTTACTGCTAACATTGTTTCTTCTGATTGAATTTGCTATCGAAACAAATTGTGGTGAATTCCTTTTTGAAAAAAATGGTGTCTTACTATATAAAGAGCTATTGGCTACATTATTGCCATTTTCCATATGATATATTTCGATTGATACCGACATTATATGCCACCCGTACATTCAGGTGATCCTTTGAAGTGGCTGTGAGAATGTATTAAAGGACTATCTCGGCAGCCAACACTTGAAAAGATATCAAAGGATATTCCTGCAATGTCATCTACACATCTCGGTAGGGTTAAACTCTTTAAAATGGATGGACAGAGAAAACTTGGATAACTTGTGACATATGCGAAGACTACGACAGAATTGTTAATTGACATTGAAATATTTTGCGTCTAAACAACTTGTTGCATTTATTATGCCTGTGATTTGATGTACTATGAGTACCATTGGATCTTGTTGTCAAAAAATAGAGTATGTTTAAAATTTGAGTTGATAGAGATTCTTGCCCTTTTGTTGATTGTTTATTTATTCCTGTTGTTATTCACATTTTATCTTCTTGTAGTCCTTTCAATTTTGTGAAAAAATAATCGATGATGAGTCACAGGTTTTAGTGATATCTTGCACTAAAACACTCCTCTTGGAAGCTAGAGTTGATTAATCAGCTGCTGCATATGCCAACGCACGTCTCCAAGCAGTGGAAGCTCCAACACTGATCCTTTGCAGGTCTATACTCTTTCGCATAATCCTGTTATTTTATGTGATGATTAGGGAATATATATTTAATAGTAATAATTGTTATGAAGCAGAAAGAAAAAACTGAGAGAAAAGAACTAGAAAGAGAGGAAAAACAGAGAGAACCAAATCTGTTATTTTAGTTTATATATTTGAATGTATAGATGCGATTTTTTAATTTATTAGGTAACGGCACCTTTCAGCTATTTTTTTTTAAAAAAATTTCTTCAGTTTACTGTTTATCTTTACAGTGGAAAGGATCAGTTCCTGCCAAGTCAAGAAGAAGGCCAAAGACCGCCGTACTCTACCAAAGTGTCAGACCCGTGATTTAATGACAATGGCCATTTTCTTCTTGGTAGGATGATCTCCCTCCCATCTCCGCCTCACTAATGTCTAAGTGTTTATTTCACAAGTTTAATTGAAAAATAAAGCAGTTAATAATCTAGTTTCTCAAATTTATTACCATTGGAAGCAATCGATGCCAATATCACAATAAAGATTTAGGGGGAAAAATGAAAAACCTCCATACGAGAGAGATCAACTCAAAACAAGAAAGTAAAAAAAATTTAAAGACCAAGGCGCAAATGGGCACTTCACTTGTACAAGACCAAAAAACATAATGAAATGAATTCTTCTCTTCAGAGGACAAACTTGAGATTAAAAAAAAAAATGATCCTGCTAGCCTACCTCTTATTGAATTTCAACTATGAGCAGAAGAAACGTAGTATAACCCAATATGACAAGAATAAAATTCCAATTCTTCCATCGGCTATAACAGACATAAGAAAGAATTAATTGCAATTTGAACTTGGAGTATGAAATATCTCTTATATGTATCTAACAAATTTATTTTAGAATTAATGAGCTTCAAGCCTTTGATCAAAACTGTAGATGATTCTATTGAAACGTTAATTACTTATTATCCAAACTTCTAATTGTCAGTTAAGAATAATTCAATGTTATGTATAATGCATGCAATTGTAGTATAAAACTTAAGAACATTGAAACAGTTGTAATATTTACAGTCTATTTTCTAGTTTCTTGTTTTGAACATATTAGATTTCATTACCATATGTAACAGGAAGATGGCGTTGATCTTGTAACATCATCAAGGGTGCTGTTTTATCGCCGTGGAAAAAGCCTGACTATGTTTCGATTTCATGCCCACAACGACCATTGAATTCAAAAATTATATGAAGGTAGCAGGTAAGTTAATATGGCATGAAAGATGCAAATTAAAATGTTTATTTTATATTAGTAGTTCTAATTAAGATTTGAGTCATATGACAATATTCAGTTCTATATCGAAATGTAAATTGTCTGGACATGGAATGCATGATCTTGATCACTCTCCAGGCATTTGTAATAGAATGAAATGTATTATGCTAGAACATGATCTGTGGAATAGGTTTGATTATATCATTGGAATATGGATTTGTACGTGCCCAATTGCTTTTGGCATTGATCTTTTTATTCCATGCTTTTAACCAATTGGTAGTTCTTAAGCCATCCTCATTCATGGATATGTGAGATAGGAGAGCGGATCACAATAACTTTAATTTTATTGTCTCACAAATTTGTGCTAGATGGCTGAGTGTTGTACTAGCCCCGTGTGTTGACAACTTAGAGGATGGAAAGATTGTGAGGGGTCTTTCTGGAATTCCTTCAGAGGACAGTCTATTTGTGGATATACATGTTATTAGGATTGATGTCATTCCAATGATACCACACTTTTGATCGAAAGGATATCCTTCTGCGAGGCATAGCACATCCGATGTTGTTCTATAAGTCAAGAGAGGGAAAATTACCGGACTTAGATCAATATGATACAGTCAGATTAATGGGTGCAGTTCCTGTCTCAGCAATAAACTTCTTCAAACTAAGTCTTCAAAGTCTCATGTCCTATTATATCCAGGAGGCATGCGAGAAGCTGTTCATCGCAAGGTATGTCTTCAACAGTTATCCACAATGTCCATTCATCTAGAGAAATAAAGTTATTGTTTCTAATTTTATTTGCCAATGGAATGATTGCAAGTTTAAATTAGTTTTAATTCATCTTGGCTCTCAAATTTCTGCTTGCCATATGAAATTATCAAAAATTTGAGAAGGTGATGTATAGGAGTAGCTACTTTCTGGCCAATCAGGACAAAAGCAATCTTCAAATAGTTAATGATAAACCTTGTTCTATGAGGAATATCATTTTCTAATTTGATTCTAAGTTGCGGGGTGTAAATCCTTGATGATGTTTCTCAGGGTGAAGAATACAATTATTTTGGCCAGAAGAGTCTGAGTTTGTCAGGATGGCAGCTAGATTTGGAGCCAAATTTTACCTTTTGGTACTATTGGAGAAGACGATCTCGCTCAAGTAAACTAGCAAACTCTTTTTCTCTCAGTGTTGTCTTTGTTAACAATTATAATTTTCATCATGTACATAAATTTTTCTGTCTGGAGTAGTGGAAAGTTATTTTGTGATCATGTAAGAACTCTATGTCTTAGTTACCTTTTATCTCCTGGCATCATGTGTGACCTGTTCTCATAGGTGCATCCTCCGTCACTAACTTTAACTGTATTTGGTTGCATATCATTCTTTTCAGGTAGTTTTTGCTACAATGACCTAATGAAAATTCTACTATAAATCTCAAATAAAAGAATTGACAGACGAGGCTGTGAAAGCAAGGTATCATACGGAATTTCCACTTGCCTCTGTTAATTTGTATTCAAGCTTTTTGCGTGCTGTTTTTTTTCCCTACCCTGTTCATTCTTTCAAATTTTTCTGTTTGTGTTAGGACTCATGCGAAAGGGGAGGTGGCAAACCAACCTGTGCACGTGCCAATATGTCTACCAAAAGTTCCCGGCAGGTTTTATTATTATTTCGGGAAGCCAATTGAAACACAAGGTATGATCATTCAACATGATTCAAGTTCACTTCTGATGATGCCCTTTTAGATTAAATATGTCTTTGTTTATAGGCGTTAAACAGTTTTGAACATTGAGAAATGATTGCAGGGATTTAGTTTATTTTATCTCTTGTTTTGTGTTGTGTAAGGGAGGAAGCAAGAACTAAAAGACAGAAAGAAGGCTCATGAATTGTATATAGAAGTGAAGTCTGAGGTGGAGAAATGCCTAGCTTATTTAAAAGAGAAAAGGGAGAATGATCCTTATAGGAGTATTGTACCTCGGCTCATTTACCAAGCTACTCATGGCTTTACATCTGAAGTTCCCACATTTGAGCTTTGATTTATGATTTGTGTTGTGAGAGAGAAGAGACTTCCTGATAGCATCATCATATCACAAATACCCAGAAATTATGACATTCAGTAATTCATATCGACGTGGAATAAGAACATTCAATTTATCAAGTATTTTTTATCTAGTAGGGGCAGGCATTCAATTCCCGATGACACTGCTGATAATGTGAAAACTAGAAAAAAGATCATTCATGTTTTGAGCTTTTAAGTACTTTTATGTAAGCAATACTTGCCATAACTCATATTATAGTCATATTCGGATTAATCACCTATGCAGTAATTTTCAAATTGCGGCATGAGGTCAAGTGAGATAATGTAAGATTGATGTGGTCATATGTCACAATTATGCAATTGAAGGTGATCTATGAAAGAGTGATTTAATTGTCTTATCTTAATCTTTGATAATAGGCTAAAGATAATTGATGGGAGTTATCTTGGTCCTAGCTATATATATATATAAAACACAAAGTGACATAACACAACACAAAATTCTAGAGACATGGACTAGAAGATATCTCTCAAACACTTTCTGTCTTGCGTAAGTAACTTCTTTTTTATGGCAAGCCATGCTATAAAAGAATGACGGGGAGTGAAAGTTCCATTCCAGACAAGGGATTTCCAAGGCACTTGCTCATAAGTAGGGGAAAGGTCCCGCCAAGCTTGTCTGGAGGAATATTGCACTTTTCTTCCTTCCTTAGTAATCCAAACGGAAGTGTCACTGGCATAAACCATATTAGGCAGAGGAGACTGAAAGATCACCTGGGGGATAAGCCTCTCTCACTTCCTCGGGCCACACCCATTGACCGTCCCTTAACACGTCACTCAGTTTCACTAGATGCCCAAGACCTCTAAGGAAATTTTACATGACTAGGATTTAACTATTATATTATTCTAATTTTGGGATAAAAGGTAACCTGAGGAGAGACATCTTGTAATATCATTTTTTGCGTGGGATGTCCTAAAGGTTTTAATGTTCCAGTCAAAGGTCAATTATTAACTGTTGATTTCACAAAATACAAAATCAAAGATAACAAGTAGTTATTTGCTTTTATATTCATTTATTTGTGAAAATATAAATAGGTGACTTTCTAGCCAAATAGATGGTAATCCATACTTGTTTCCTTTACATAACCCCGAAGGAAAATTTTCCTTAATTTATATTGAAAATTTTATGATTCCAACAATAAAATTTAACGATGTTAATTTCACCATGGGACAATCTAACCAACTCATGATACTAATATGGATATAAAATCATCATACTACTATTGTTAACCATCCAATTAGAATTAACCATAAAAGTAATTATTTTTTTAACCACCTGTTAAAAGGACGGTTGTTGATATAATGGTGATTATTTTGAGAAGGAAAACCACAATATATTTGACAATACCTGATTAATCTAATTGGATAAATTTTGTAGAAGTTAATTTGTTTTCCCCATTGTTTATATTTGACTGCCAGTTTACTCTCATTCAGAAAGTGATAGCCAATGTTTTAAAACCTGACCCGGCTCGGCCGATTTAACTAGGACCGAGAAGCTTCAACGGGTCGGATTATATTTTTCCTATTCACCCAAAACCCTAGGATTTGGGAGGATGATCGGTTGACAATTGACAGCCAGGATGTTGGGGTTTTTGAAGAGAAAGTGAGGTGAATGCGGTGGTGGTGACGGAGTTGATTTCCAGTGAGTAAATTGACTGAAAATCAAACAAAACTGAGGGCGGCAACAATCGGCTTTTGCTGACGATTAGCAAAGCTAACAGGGGTGGCGTGATGTGAGCTAAGGTGGGTTCTGGTCGAGAGGAAGAGGGGAGTAATTTATGGATGATAGGGAGGGTTGTCGACGAGATTTGACCTGGAATGCTGACGCCGGCGTCGGTGAGATCTGGCCAAAATCGAACTTACTTCGACCAGATCTTGGGTATATTTTAAGAGGAATGGGCTCAAAGGACGATTGGGGTTACATCTGAGGTGTCGCCGCTGGCAACCAATCGCTGGCCAATTTGTATTTGGGTTGTGTTTGCTAAATTTCAAACATATAGGGACTTAAAAAATTACTAGGGGCGTATTTGCTGAATTTTAAAAGTTTTTATCAACCGGTTTGACCGGCGGTCAAACCGGTTAAACTGGTCAACCCGGGACTCGGAAACTTTATCAGGTTTCACCCCGGGTTGGGTTTTAAAACATTGGTAGTAGCTATGCCTTTACTCTTATTTTTAATAATATATACTACAATCAGTAATATAGCGAAAAAGTAACTAAATAAATAAAGTAAGAACAAACAAAACAATGTGATAGACAATTTTAAGTACAAACTTTGATGAGAGTTGATAATAATTTTCTGCGAAAACCAACTAACTTAGTTGGTAAGTGAAATTGTTGTATAGGCAGTCTGATTACTATAAATACATACATTGCATTTTTGCAGCAAGCGTAGAAATTTAACTCAAAACAAAGAAAGTAAAAAAAATTTAAAGACCAAGGCGCAAATGGGCACTTCACTTGTACCAGACAAAAAACATAATGAAAGAATTCTTCTCTTCGAGGACAAACTTGAGATTTAAAAAAAAAATGATCCTGCTAGCCTACCCTTATTGAATTCAACTATGAGCAAGAAGAAAGTAAGTTATAACCCAATATGAACACAAGAATAAAATTCCAATTCTTTCCCATCGGCATATAACAGACATAAGAAGAATTAATTGAATTTGAACTTGGAGTATGAAATATCTCTTTATATGTATCTAACAATTTATTTTAGAATTAATGAGCTTCAAGCCTTTGATCAAAACTGTAGATGATCTATTGAAACGTTAATACTTATTATCCAAACTTCTAATTGTCAGTTAAGAAATAATTCAATGTTATGTATTAATGCATGCAATTGTAGTATAAAAACTTAGAACATTGAAACAGTTGTGTAATATTTACAGTCTTTATTTTCTAGTTTCTTGTTTGAACATATTAGATTTCATTTATATCCATATGTAACAGGAAGATGGCGTTGATCTTGTAACCACCATCAAGGGTGCTAGTTTCTATCGCCGTGGAAAAAGCCTGACTATGTTTCAGATTTCATGCCACCAACGACCATGAATCAATAAATTATATGAAGGTAGCAGGTAAGTTAATATGGCATGAAAGATGCAAATTAAAATGTTTATTATATTAGTAGTTCTAATTAAGATTTGAGTCATATGACAATATTCAGTTCTATATCGGAAATCGGAAATTGTCATGGACATGGAATTGCATGATCTTGATCACTCTCCAGGCATTTGTAAAGAATTGAAATGTATATATGCTAGAACATGATCTGGTGGAATAGGTTTGATTATATCATTGGAATATGGATTCTGTACGTGCCCAATTGCTTTTGGCATTGATTTTTATTCCATGCTTTTAACCAATGGTAGTTCTTAAGCCATCTCATTCATGGATTATGTGAGATTTAGTAGAGCTGGAATCACAATAACTTTAATTTTATTGTCTCACAAATTTGTGCTAGAGGCTGAGTGTTGTTACTAGCCCGTGATGTTGACAACTTTAGAGGATGGAAAGATTGTGAGGGGTCTTTCGGAATTCCTTCAGAGGGACCAGTCTATTGTTGGATATCACATGTTATTAGGACTTGATGTCATTCCAATGATACCACACTTTTGATCGAAAGGATATCCTTCTGCGAGGCATAGCACATCCGATGTGTTCTATAAGTCAAGAGAGGGAAAATTACCGGACTTAGTCAATATGATACAGTCAGATTAATGGGTGCAGTTCCTGTCTCAGCAATAAACTTTCAAACTAAGTCTTCAAAGTCTCATGTCCTATTATATCCAGGAGGCATGCGAGAGCTGTTCATCGCAAGGTATTGTCTTCAACAGTTATCACCCAATGTCCATTCTTCATCTAGAGAAATAAGCTTATGTTTCTAAAATTTATTGCCAATGGAATGATTGCAAGTTTAAATTAGTTTAATTTCATCTGGCTCTCAAATTTCTGCTTGCCATATGAAATTATCAAAATTTGAGAAGGTGATGTATAGGAGTAGCCTACTTTGGCCAATCAGGACAAAGCAATCTTCAAATAAGTTAATGATAAACCTTGTTCTAGATGGATATATTTTCTAATTTGATTCTAAGTTGCGAGGGTGGAAACCTTGATGATGTTTCTCAGGGTGAGAATACAAATTTTTGGCCAGAAGAGTCTGAGTTTGTCAGGATGGCAGCTAGATTTGGAGCCAAAATTATACCTTTGGTACTATTGGAGAAGACGATCTCGCTCAAGTAAACTAGCAACATATCTTTTTCTTCAGGTTGTCTTTGTTAACAATTATTAATTTTCATCATGTACATAAATTTTTCTGTGGGAGTAGTGGAAAGTTATTTTGTGATCATGTAAGACTCTTATGATCTTATGTATACCTTTTATCTCCTGGCATCATGTGTGACCTGTTCTCATAGTTGCATCCTCAGTCACTAACTTTAACTGATATTTGGTTGCATATTCATTCTTTCAGGTAGTTTTTGACTACAATGACCTAATGAAAATTCCCTACTATAAATCTCAAATAAAAGAATTGACAGACGAGCGTGAAAGCAGGTATCATAAGAATTTCCACTTGCCTCTGTTAATTTGTATTCAAGCTTTTGCGTGCTGTTTTTTTCCCTACCCTGTCATTTCCAAATTTTTCTGTTTGTGTTAGGACTCATGCGAAAGGGGAGGTGGCAAACCAACCTGTGCACGTGCCAATATGTCTACCAAAGTTCCCGGCAGGTTTATTATTATTTCGGGAAGCCAATTGAAACACAAGGTATGATCATTCAACATGATTCAAGTTCACTTCTGATGATGCCCTTTTAGATTAAATATGTCTTTGTTTATGGCGTTAAACAGTTTGAACATTGGAAATGATTGCAGGGATTTAGTTTATTTTATCTCTTGTTTGTGTTGTGTAAGGGAGGAAGCAAGAACTAAAAGACAGAAAGAAGGTCATGAATTGTATATAGAAGTGAAGTTGAGGTGGAGAAATGCCTAGCTTATTTAAAAGAGAAAGGGAGAATGATCCTTATAGGAGTATTGTACCTCGGCTCATTTACAAGAAAATTTTTAAAATTTAAAATTAGTCGTAATTACTCTTTAGCTAGTCTTATGCTTTATTATTTCACTTAAAAATTAAAGTTCAAACTTATATTTATGCATATGAGCCATAATCATGGAGTTTTATATATAAAAATGGTATTTTTTTTTTTTTTTAAATAAAAAACTGTATTTCAAGTATGGTAATTAACATCAATCTCCTTGAAGTTTCAAGGTCCCAAACGTTCTAGAACTATAAAAAACTCATCTTT